CTGTAATCATTTATATATGTTAAATAAGCAACCATATTTTTCAAATCTTTACCATAAATAGCAACAGTGAAAATTGTTAATTGAGATTGATTCCAATAAGCACTTTAAACTTGTTTTTGATGAGTACAGCAATAGTTTTGGCTAAAATATACTTAAATACACTTTGTATTAATAATTTTCCATGCATAATATATAATCTATTTGGTGGCGATAAACAGACGCTTACCCAGAAAAAAAGTTTTATAGAATTTTCTATAAACTTTTGAAACATATGGCCTATAGAAACTCTATAGAATTTTGATAGAATGTCTATTAATTTCTATAGAAATTGCTGTCAAACCTTTTTTCTATAAAACAAAAATGGTAGAAAATAAAATTTCAATTGGAATTTTTATATAAGTTAACAGAAACTCTATAGAGGTTATATAGAATTCTATAGAGTTTCTATAGACCATATGTTTTAAAAGTTTATATAAAATGCTATAGAATTTTATTTTCCTTTGTACTGACGTTTAAATAAAAGGTGAATCCGAAATTGAGGTAGCATTTTTAAAGACTCTGTATATGTTGCATATAAAAACTGTTTGATCAATCCCTGCTGTAGAAAATTTGTAACCTTGTCTTTGTACTAATTTATGTAACTGACTTCAATGCATTCTTCTTTTTGCTCTTTAGATGGTGGTAGCATTCGGTTGTTAGGACAGTTAGCACAAAAACTACATGACAGTAACATACAATCTGGAGTGAGTGGGCTGCAAAGAATCTATTTGTTTACCCAGTTTGTGTTATAAGATTTAAAATTAAGGTTTGAGGATAAAACGCTGCATATATTAATAAGATTTTCATGAATTAGATATCAGCAGATTTTAAGAGGCGTCTCTGAATATGTGAGTATTTGAGCTGGACAAAATGCACAAAATTTGGAAAATTTTATCTTGCTAACAAATACAGGGCATAACATTCCCTTAATTTAAGTAACAAGTAAAGTTATTGAAATTTTTTACCATCAATTTTTATAAAGTCTTTCATACCCTGAGCCCATCGAGATATTTCTTCGTGGTTGTAAAACTCTAGTACATGATTTAATACACTAGAAAATAAACGGATGCGCTTTTTTATCTTTAATATATCTGGTAAAGAGATTTTCATTTCTATTGCTATCTGTTAAATAACGTAATCTGCTTTTCGTGGCAACTTTGTTAAAGCCAATTTAACGCAGTTTACAGCACGCGCTTCTGACAAACTTGAACGATAGATGGGTTTTACTGTTTGACTCGAAGAAGAACAAGGAGTATCTATGATACCTTGAGCTTTTAGAAAATCTCTGTGTTTACGCTGTCGTAATTTAGTAAGCTCCTTACTTTTTAATTCTTGCTCTAGCGTTGTGGCAACGAATTTTACTTCGTTCTTTTACTATTTCTTTTAATTCAGTTTTCTTTCTTTCTCTATAATCTTGACAAACTTGTTTGTGGGATTCGTTATAATAGTCGCGGTCGTGACGATGAAAAACGCCTTTTTTCTTTTTTGTTACATACCAACTAATAATTGAGATAATAATATCACTTATTAACAAACTTAATTTATCACTAATGTTTATTCTGAGAACTAAAAATTAAAAAAAAACAAAAAACATTTAACTCCATGTTTTTTATATCTAAAAATATTAATAATGGCTACCAAGTTTTAAATATCTCCTACACATGCATAAAAATAAATGACGAAGTGAAGATATTTTTTTTAGATGCACTAATGTGTCTGTTAATTTTATTTTAAAAAATCTATTTCTAACATTCAGTTTAAATATTTTTGAATTATGGCTGTCTTAAATGGAATGACCGAGTAGTGAGATAAAATAATTCAAATGAATGAAACTAACTAATGCAGTTAACATGCGTGTTTGTGCCACAAGTTTTTAACAGAAACACTGAGAAGTTGAATTCTTTTAAGCAGTTATTTGACATTTGTACCTGCAAATGCTTTGATTTGGACATTAGAGATAGGAACTTATGCAAGTGCCCACTGCCAAATAAAATTCTATTGATAGAGTGGGATTTCTGGGTTGACCAGAAAACTGTTAGAAATATGATAATTGGTGGAGTAGACAAAGAAACGACAGCAACACTGGATAAGAGACAAAAACGCAAATTTATGAAATCAGTGTGTGATGAAGCTCAGTCAAAAGAGGTTGAATATGAAACTGAGGAAGATATTGATGAGGATGAGCGTAACACGTCTGAAAGTAATTATACATCAGAGGAAGAGACAGTATCAGTGTTAACAGAAACAAGTACAAGAAATTATGTAAAGCAGTTGATCGATGCAAAATTAGCAACAGAGATACATGTTTTATTGTTAATTCAGTTTTAAAAGACCTCAGTATGTTGTCTTCAGCAACAATTCTTGATCCTTCAAAGCTACGTTGACAAAGGAATTTCTGGAGAGATACTCTGGTTGAAGAACATATGCAGAGCAATAAGGAATTGTGCTGTATAGGCTTTGATGGAAAACAAGACGTTACATTAGTTGAAAGTTTTGGTTGTAGAAGAAGTAAAAAAGAAGAACACTATAGTATTGTTTCGTATCCAGGAAACATATACATTGATCTTGTAGTTCCTGAAAGTAGTAAAGCTGCTGATATAACAAAAGAGTTAATGTCAGTTATTATAAAGACAGACTCCGTAGAAAGCATTCAAGATGTTGTGTGTGATGGCACAAATAATAATACAGGTAAAAGCAACGGAATAATAAGAAAATTGGAGGAGAACTTAGGTAGACCATTACAGTGGTTGGTATGCCTTCTACACTGTAACGAGCTGCCATTAAAATTGTTTTTGGCAGGCGTGGATTTTTCTCGAACTACAGGACCTTCCGTATCGACAGGTACAATTAGCTCAGCTCTAGAATATGATCCGAATGAATTGCCTGTCGTTAATTATTTGCCAATTACTGGTAAGGTGACTGATTGTGATGAAGCTGTCAAGAAGGATCTTAGCACAGACCAACTGTACTTTTTGAAAGTATGTCTAGCAGTATAGCGTGGACGTCAGGCTTCTACAGATATTGATTTCCTCAAGAAGAGTTTACCTGGAAATATAGGTCATGCTCGGTGGTTGACAAAAGCCAACAGGATTTTGCGTCTCTACATGTCTAGAGAGGTGGCATCTAAACCTCTCAGAAGAGTAACGCATTTTATTTTGAATTTTTCGGACCCTCTTGGTTCAAAATCAAACCAAACTCTTCTTGCCAAAATGGTGCTGACAACTTCATTTACTTAGTTCAGTTGTTTCAGGAACTTGATGCATTAGATCAGGCTGTGGTTCGTCCTGTTCTCAAAAATAACTGCTACTTTGCGCATGTTGAAAACATTTTGTTAGCTGTAGTTAGTGATAGTGATATGGAAATTACGTCTCCTCCGATGCTATCACACCTTTCAAATGATCAACTTCCTTAGACACATCCAATACTACTTCCCGATGTTCCATGTCATTCACAGGCAGTAGAGAGAACAATTAAAGACGTTAGCGCTGTGAGCTGTAAAGTTTATGGGAGAAAGTCCCGTCATGGCATGGTGTTACAGAGTAAGAAATCCAGATTATAGATACCAAAAATAGACAGCAAGAAAAATTTTATTAACAGTTAGGTTAAACAACTTTGTATTGTTGCTGTTTAACATTGATTCGTTACAGTTTACATTCTTTTTAATTTGTAATACATTGCAATACATTGCACTAACATTAGGTATTTATGTGGTCTTTCTAGTCAGAGTTGGGACCTGTAGACAAAAGTGAGGTTTTTTTAAACGAGTACATCAAAACGCAACTTTTTAGACATGCACAGAATCTCCAACTTAATATTTTTTATATTTCGACTGACCCTAATATAAATATAATTATATATATATATATATATATATATATATATATATATATATATATATATATATATATATATATATATTTACCAAAAATAGTTCCAACATGGTAAAGCAAACTTTTTTTAACATATATTTCATCATGTAGCATGATACATAACTTCTGCATATCCGGAAGAGAGTTAAAAATTGAATAAACAAATTTGTTTTCATTAATATTAGAAATTTTTGAAGTAATTCGAATCAGTGTTGAAATAGATGGTAGTTGATAATCATTTCTTAAGCGATTATATAATCCCGTTGATGTTAAAAAATATACAAAAGAACGTATAAGTATTTCATCTTTAACTAATTTTGCTCCGTAACTAAAACATGTTGCATAATTACTTCTTTTTTATTATCAATTTTCAAAGAGCTTAAAAAACGAAGTATCTCATTAAACTTAGACCAAGAGTCAACAGTTATGATTCGATTTACTGTTAAGCTAGAGATGTGACATTTAATCCCATAATAAAATGTTTCCAAGGTAAGATTTTTATAAATTTTAAGTACAAAAAAAGGTATTCCATTAAAAAATTGCAAAGATTGTATAACATCATAGCCATCAACCATAAACGATATAACTGGATATTGGTATCACTGCTATCAATAAACTTGTTTTTAATGTCACAAAAAGTAGATTTATCTCTTTTAAGAAACGTATCTAGCTCATCATCTATTATACTTCTAATGCTACTTAAAGATCTTTTGGTAGATCTTTCAGTTGGATAAGCAATTTGAATTTGAAATAAAGATATTCCTAGCCAAACAGAAGGAGGATTTTTTGGTCGACGTTTTCCTCCACGCACTATAACTGTATTAAAATTTGGAGGCCAGTGTAACTCACAGATAACAGTATACTTAGTAACAACCAAATTAGAGTTTGGAATAGCTTTTATCCATTTTTCACGTTCAACGTTATCACTTGGAAACTGATACACTGATATTTTATTAACTTCACTAGATATTTTGTTTTTTTCACTTCGATAGTTGGTGTAACAGGCATACACACAATATTTATTTGGCATGATGATTTTATCTAAATTTTATAAATATATTATTTGCTTTGAACTAAATCTAAAACTCCATGTTTAAATTATATAAGTTTATTAACATTGTATTATATTCCATTATTTGAATATATATCATAAACGAGATGACATTGTATCTGGTCTGAACGTGGAGAAATTTTTTTGCCGTAAAAAATAGGCCTCCACAAAAAAATCCGGTTGCGCGATGAATAAGCCTGTAGTAGAGAACGCTATGCAACAACCACAATAATAATAACAATAATAGTAATAAAAAAGATATAAAATAAAAAAACAAATAGATACACTAATTTTTATTCAAAAAATATATATATTTTATTTAAATTTTATAAAAAATTAAAATAACAAAATTTAATTCATCATAGAAAAAAAGGACATCAAACATAAAAAAATCAAATACTAAAAGTAATTATTTTTAAAGTAGCGTACAATATAAATTAAACTATTTATTAGATGAGAGTAAAATGGAATGACAACAACATTAACTGATTGATTCTGTAGGGATAGCAGAGAGAATATTTCTTCTTAGCAGAAGTCGTTCTTGACGCTTATTTTTTATCCAAAAATGAGCCATAAATACAAACCAATTGAGTAAATTCAAAAAAGCCAATAGGTAAAGATAAAAATCCAAATTCCCATTAAGAATTATAATCGACGGTTCATTGGCTGTATGACGAGTAATTAAAAAATTTGGAAACATCTCTACAATTAAAGTCAACATTGAGCTTAAAAACGCTCCAAGACCATATACAAGGTAGAGGATACTGGTAACTAAACTTTGCATCGATTTTGGTGACTCACAGTAAGCATACTTTAAACCTTAAAAAAAAGTATTAAATTTTGAAGAAAAGAGTAAAAACCATAAATTTACTAGAAAAAAAGTTTTTTTTTAGAAAAGTGTTTAAATCACATTATTGACTTTTTTGTTGCCGGCATTTCTTAAGAACAAATTAAATTAGTTCAATCAAATGTTAAGCGCGTTGAAGCCTAAAATTTACACACATTGAAGTCTAAAAATTTTAGTACAAAACTACAAATCTATATAAAGGAAACTTTGAAGTTTTGTAAGTTTTTAATATTTAAAAATAGTGACTGTTTTCTAATTTTATTTGGTCACATGAGTATTTCCTTTTATTGCTATGTAGATCAAATAAAACAATAAATAACAAAACAATTTATGTTAAGATTTAATCATCTAAACACTTTTTTTTTATTATTTTAATAAAACTTTAAATAAAATTTAAAATTGTTAATAACACTTATACTTTAATGTTTTAAAGTTTGTTTTTCACAAAAATAATTAAATGTTCTGATGTGTTTTTGACATTAAAAAAATATTTTTTTTGAATGATGAGTTTAAGGTTATCGTTACATTAAAAAAAAATTAAAATCTAGGGTTTCAGGTTATTTTATTTTTAAATAATAGTTTGAAAAAACTTCTTTGCAAACCTAAGCTACGTCCAAAATGATTTGGGAAAAAGCAGAGGAATATTGATTAGCACATTTATGTGCATCAGGAATATAATTATTTAAATTAGTATTGTTAACTTACAAAATTACTATTTACTTAGAAATTAAATATAAATATAAAAAAATAAATACCTGGAATTACAACAAATATTTCAGACAACCCTATAAACATATACTGGGGTACTTGGTAGAATATTGACATGTCTGATGCATTCACACTCATAATATTGCCAAAATTATTTGTAACAAGAGTGTTACCATTAATTATACGATAGTTTTCAACAACCCCACCGCAGTACAATGACAAAACTGAAAACACCATACCTTTAAACAATAAAACAGTTAGCTATAAAACAACTTTTAATAATTTTAATGATTTACTATTGAAAGATTTTTACAATTTAAAATTAATTAAATTACAGAAATAATATTGTACTTTTGGGTTGTCCATTAATTATGTCAACAATAGGGGGAGGGGCAAATAAATTTTTTGACAATTGTCAAAATCAAGAGGAAAAGGGATGTTATTTTTAAAAATAATAATAATTATTTAAAAATTGCAATAAACACAATTTAAGATTTATTTGAGAGGTAGTAGAGGGTGTGGAGGAGGTGGAGTAGGAAACCAAATGTTGACATCATTTTGTGTATATATAGGTGTGTGGATATATAAAATAATTGTTTTATCACTATTATATATATATATATATATATATATATATATATATATATATATATATATATATATATATATATATATATATATATATATATATATATAATTATATATACAATTGTAGAATTCATAAGGAAAAAAATCAGCAATGTGATAAATATATTGACAAATCATGTTGTAACTGCTTACTATAAACCCCAAAGATTAGTCAATAAAACAAGCAGTCACGTAGTAATATATTGCAGAAATTATGAATAATTTTTATTGCAGTTTGTTGTTCTAAAACATGAGGTGGAATTCAATTTATATGTCTCATGAACATGAATAGAACAATAAGTAATAACTAGGTAGCCAGCCAATAGCTACTTCAGAATTTCAGGTTATTTCCAAGACTTTTTTTCAAGGAAGTTTTTTGGGTTTTTCAAGGATATATTAATCTTTTCTTGACCAGAAAAAATCAAAATATGTTGATTTAAAAAAAAAATTATTTTTTCACAACAGAAAATACATAATTATCAAATTCAATATAAGATATATATATATATATATTTATATATATATATTTATATATATATATATATATATATATATATATATATATATATATATATATATATATATATATATATATATATATATATATATATATATTCAACATACAGACAATATAGCAGCACCAACTCATCACTTTATAACTTTCACGATTCTTTACTGTTGAAGAATATCTTTTTGAATTGAACACTGCGACTAAAAAGTCGTTTCCAGAGCATGGAACAAACTAAGAACTATTCTATAACAACCTAATTGACCCAAGTTTCAAGTATTAATTTTTGTTTGTTTCTTTGATGCATATAATGCTACAAAAAAAATGTCTTGACACAACTGGATCATCTCTCAATGAATTTAAACAAGTTTCAAAAGAATCTATTACTGGTATTTTAGAGAGTATTACAGGCTTTTACAACATGGTGTAAAACAATTATTCAACAATAGGCCAAAGCTGCATTTGTTGGAAAAAGCAGCCTGTGAACATTTATTTAGTGTAACAGCGTCACTGTTTGTGCCAAACCACACAAGAATAATAGGTGAAGATTTTGAACAGCAACTGCTATTATGCATCAATGTAAAACTGTTATAATAAAATAAAATTTCAATAAACATTAATAGATTAAATAGTCTTGATCCTTGCTTGAAAAGTTGCATTGAAAACATTGCTTGTATGTTAATGCTGGACCTTGTTAATGCTGGACCTATTCACTTTAGTGACATGTAAAAATACTTTTAATACTGTTGTGTCTGTGGTTGCATATGGCACATTGTTTATTTTAATATTTAAATTTTGCAGCAAATATATTGATGTGGATCATACTGAGATGTATGATCAGAATCAATATATTCAAGATTAACCACAAGAAATCTGTGTTTAGCTTCTCTTCTGTTAAATTTATATAATGAACTAAATAGTTGCAATTATTTGCAGCTTTTCAATGGATAAAGGTGATGGAACATTTACATCTCGACATTTCCACAAGTATCGCTGTTTTAAATTTATATTTTAACACTGTTTTTAAGTCATTTATCTTAGATAAAAGCGTAGATGAATAAGGAAGATAATTTTTATTAGTAAAAGTTGAGCAAAATTTTATAAAACCCTTATTAGCCGAAGTCTCAAAAGAACATTCATCAGCAATGATAAATTCCAATACAGCTTAGTCAAATTTTTTTTATACTTAATTGAAATAGGGTGATTAAAAAATTTGCCATGACACTTTGTTTTAGTTTTTTTGAACAATCGCTTTCCAATCTGGTTTTGACAATGAATGTTTTTTTGTTTCTTTAGCTTCAGCTAGTGTCTTGTGTTTTCTTTTCAGTTGATTATAGTGATTATTTTATGTCAGACTTTTGTACACATTTGTTTTGCAATATTTACATAATTAAAACTTATCATTTCATTCAGAGTATGACATAAAAACTGCTGCTATTTTTAAAATAAAAATATAGGAATTTTATAAAGTTTGTAAATAAAAATTTGTAAGTTTAAAATTTATAAGTTAAAAAACTTGTATTTAAAAAGTTTGTAAATAAAAAAAAAAAAAAAATTTCGAACATCGCATTAGCAGTAAATTTGTAAAAATTTTAATAAAAATTTTTTGATTTTTATTAAAAAATTTTACAAAAAAAAAAAAAAAAAAATATTGTGATTTTTATTAAAATTTTTACAAATATATATATATATATATATATATATATATATATATATATATATATATATATATATATATATAAATATATATATATATATATATATATATATATATATATATATATTTATATATATATATTTATAACACTCACAGGGACATTAGCATTATCGGGGATATTTTAGTGTACCCAATAGTGTACACACTAAAATAGTGTACATGCAGTTTTTCGTCTTGTATGACCACATGCAAGTATATTATTTTAGACAACTTGAACACTAGGGTATACCAAAAACGTTTTCCCATTCTTTGAAGTCCACTGAGGCTAAAAATCAAAAGAAAAAAGAAATTCGTTGCCAGGAAGTGATAGCTGTAAAATTTGAAAAAATTGATTTTTTCTAAAATAAATGTCCGTTACATCAACATTGAATTAATATGTAGAGAATTTTATTTTTATCTTTTATTTGATTTTTCATAAAGTTAATAATGATGCCTAGATTGAATAAAATTATTATTAGGCTAATACATTTGTTTTTATAAGCATATTTTTGAAACATGCTTATTCAAAATGTTGAATAAGCAGATTCAAAAATATACTTAAGCTAACGAAAACGTGTGTTTTTTTGTAAGAAAGTCAAAAAATATCTTTAAGAATTCCTGTATACAAGAATACACATCACATTTTTTTAATAAAAATCCTCAAATACCATCAAAGGAAAAAACAACCGATGTATGATAGTCTTGTAGATGGTTAAAAACAATATTCCAAAACCAAATAATTAAATTTATTCTTTTAATTGACTATCGGCTACTTGGCATGTTACGTTTTTTTCTATTGTTCAAGCTTACTCTAAATATGCATGTTTTTGAGCACAATTTCATGCACAAGTGCATGTACAAATGGAATTGTGCTCAAAAAAATTAAAGTAAAAAAATTAATTATTTGGTTTTGGTAACACGTTATTTAGATTTTTAAGTTTAAATTTACATAAAATTTACTCATATGTTATTTAATTTAAGATTTCATAGTAATTTGTAATATGAGCCGTTCTCGCACAAAATATACAAATAAAGTAGAAAAGAGAAAGATACAGACCAATCCCAGAAGGCTACTGTTTCTTCTCAAGTATTCTATCAACCAGTTACCTTTAAACCAGCTTCCCAGCATTGGAAATTTTCTTAGATACATTCAGTTTATCAAATCTCTAAGGTCTTTGAAATTTAAATCTAATAAGGCAATTGTAGCTTGTTTTCAAACGTTTCCAGGCAAAGATCTTATTTGCAAGGGTGGATTATGTAGAAATCCCAACCACAGATGTGTTATTGCTCTTGTAATGGATGTTTGGAAGAAAGCTGGTTTTGGAGAGTTTATCCTATCTGGCGCTGCTGTCAGGTAAGAAATAATGCAATTTTTAATTTAATATAAACAAAATATAAATCAATAATCATTAATATTATTAATATAATTTATAAAAAGTAACCTTACCTAGGTAATTATGAAACTTTATATAATGTTTTTTTATATCATTAAGGGATAAGATTTTAAAATTCCATACAAAATATTGCATGCTAATCCATTTGAGAGAACTAAACTGGGATTCCAGAACTGGTAGATTTACTAAGATCCAGAGAGAGTTCATTCAGGAGAGCACCAAACCTTTCGACATATCTGAAGCGAGGTTTGAGGAAAAAATCCAATCAGATCGCCTTCGTACCCAGGATGCCAAGGCGTAAGACATTCAGCTTTTTTTAGACCAAAAAGAGCATCGAAAAATGTATATAACTGCAGAATTAGACAAAAATTTGAATCATCTGTTAAAAATAGACAGGATCGCTGGCAGAGAATGAAGAATATGAAGACTACATCAGTGAAAAAATATAAAAAGAAAATGGTTACTAATGAGGTTTTATATGATTCTGATATCAACTCATCTGCATCCGAGTTAGATGCTGCAGTTTTCACAGATGAAAACAATGTCAATGAATTATTTCAAAACTTTGATTCTACAGTAAAAGCCAAGGTAAATCAAATATTATAATAAAATTTAAAGTTATTTGTATGAAATTTGAGTGAACAAAATTTAACTGCATTTAACTAGATTAGAAATATCACTTCTATTTAATAGAATAGGGTTGGAATCCAACCTCAAACCGCGATCATTGCAGCAATATGCAATAAAACAGGCATAAATCTTGAAAATGTGATCTCCAAAAGCTCTGTTCATCGAAAGAGATTCAAGATGATTGAAGATCTAGGTAAAAATAACTAATTGAAATAATAGGATTAATAAAAAATTAATTAAATTGGTAATAAAGCTATTTTGAATTTTAGGAGACCAGATAAGGCAAGATATAATGAAAACATTGAAGGGAAAGAGACTTGTCCTGCACTTCGACAGCAAAAAAATAAGAGATAGTTCAAGCTCAAAGTTCCAAGGGAGTTGATCATGCAGATGTAATCATAAATCTCCTAGAATATTACAATATTGTTGATCAGATCTTCGCCATATGCTGTGACACTACTGCTTCCAACACTGGAGTATTTGCTAGTGCCATAACCATCCTCACAAACATCCTCAACATTCTGTTTCTCTGGTTTCTCTGCAGACGACACATATTTGAGATAAACATCTCACATTTCATGGAGGTTCTTACTGGTGAAAAAACAAAGTAGCCCAGGAGAACACTATATTTAAGACTTCATAGAGCCTTGCCAAGCATCAAAGAGGAAGTGAACAAGATAGGGGAGGTAATTAGGTTTGATTGGAATGAGCTACAGGTTGGATCATCCTTGTACAACATAGCAAGGGAGGCCTTAGAGTTTTGCAAAAAGGCACTGACCACAAAGACATTTAAAAGAAGTGACTAAAAGAAGCTCTGCGAACTAGTTGTATTCTATTTAGCAGGAGATGTACCGAGGTTTTGTTTTTAACAACCTGGTGCCTACCACGAAGCCGGGTATGATTAAAGTATATTATCAATAATTTGAGAGTACATTTTCAATATTTTTCTATATAATTAATAATAATAATTTATTATAAAGGTTCATGGCAGATGTTTGTGCTGTCATTGAGGATGACTGAGAAGGTAGCCCAGTTGATGAATGAAGAATAGAATAGGTTTAGAATAGAATAAAAAGAAGCTGATAGGTTCCCAGAGTTGGATCTTGTTTATGGTAGTAGATATTCCTTTTGGAGAGGCGGAGAAGTGGCTCAAGGGAGATGCCAGTGAAACATTTGATCTATTTAAAAGGTTATTGAAATCGATTGAATGTGTTAATGACTGCGCTGAAAGAAATATCCAACTAATTAAGAATTTTGTTGGAGGCTACAGGTCAAATGACATGAAAAAGAACCTCATGCTCATTGCCAGAGACAACAGAAATAAACTAAAGAAAGAACTAACAAAGAAGCAACTCATAAACGTTTAGTTTCTAAAGTGAAAACATATATATTTTAAGAGAGTTACTAAATTACATCGTTTTTTTTTATGAAAATTGCTTTTTTTTCAAAAAATGAAATTTTACAGCTATCACTTTTACAAGAGCAAAATTAGTTTTTTTGCTTCTTTTAGCCTATTTGGACCTTAGAGAATGGGAAAACATTGAGAGGTATTTTTTTTTGGGTACACCCTATTGAACATAGCCGCTTGCAAGTTTTATAATAATCAATGCTGAAAAAGTTTCAAAAAAAAAAAAAAAACTAACAAAATAAAGAGATTGAAATAGGAAAAAACAAACAAAAACAAATTAATAATTTAAATAATTTGTGTAATGTTTTTGTTTTAGTTTCTTTAGAGTGGTTGTTACATTCAGCAACAAAATTAGATAAGACAAAGCAAAAAAAAAAAACAGTTTAAAGTCTACAATAAAAAGAATGATTTTTCTTTCATTAACTTTTTTTTTTTAAGAGGATAGCAAAAATACAAAATGCAATGTGTTTAAAACTTATTTGCATAGTTTTAATGTAACAACAAGGGTTGAATTAAACGAATGCAAAACGCAAAATCTGGAAAAATATCTAGCATTCAAAATTTTAATTTATACAAAACCGTGTTCCTTCTCCTTAAGAGGAGAATCAACTTAAATTTGTAAGCGAAAAAATAAAAAATAAAACAAACTTACGATTATAAAAGTAATAACACTCTAGTCACTAACTGCATTACAAAAGTAATAACACTATAATAGTGTTACTACTTTTATAACGCACTTATAACTTTTAAAATTTATTCTTTGTTCAAGCAACATAAGTAATCGCAAATTTTAATTGAAGTAGAAAAATATCTAGAAAAATAAAATAGATGTTTAAATAATATTTAAACCTTAAATAATATATAAAAACGTGACAAACAACTTTATAAAAACGTATCGTATTAAAAGTTTAGCATTATGAATAACATTACTAATACGGTCCATTAGTAATGTTTTTCATAATGCTAAACTTTTTAAAAAAAAACGCATGTTTAAAATTGAACAATAAAATTTTTTTTATTGGTTGATTTTAAAATTAACGTGCGTTTTTATGTAACATTTTTCATAATGCTGTACTTTTTATAAAGTACTTTTTGTAACTTAAACTTTAATGATCTGTGAAAGTTCCTGAGATTTTTATTAATATTTGAATATCCGTTTTATTTTTTCTAAATGCTTTTCTACTTTATTGAACGTTTGGAATTAATAATGTTGTTTGAACAAAGAATTAACTTTAAAAGTAATAAGTGCTTTATAAATGTAATAACACTATTATAGTTTTATTACTTTTATAATGCAGTTAGTGACTAAAGTGTTATTACTTTTGTAGTCGTAAGTTTATTGTTTTTGTTTTGTTTTTTGTAACTTTCTCGCTAGCAAACTTTTGATAATTTGCTCCTTTTTATATTATTTATATTATTTTATATTATTACTTTTATAATGCAGTTAGTGACTAAAGTGTTATTACTTTTGTAATTGTAAGTTTATTGTTTTTGTTTTGTTTTTTGTAACTTTCTCGCTAGCAAACCTTTGATAATTTGCTCCTTATAAACAAAGTACACAGCTTTGCATGAACTAAAATTTTAAAGACCTAATACTTTACCAGAGTTTACAAATCGTGATCCTAGAATTCAACCCTTGATATAAAGTTGTTACATTATAATTATACATATATATTTTACAAACAGATGACGATACATATTTTCTCTTTTCTCTTTAAAAGAAAAAACACATAAAATATGGGAAAGTCATCCTTTTTAACGCTTAAAACTGTTTTTTTTTTTTTTTTTTGCTTTGACTTACTGAATTTTATTGCCGATAATAATAACCACTAAGAAAAAACAAAAATAAAAACAACACAAAAATTCTTTAAACTATAATTATTGTTTTCTATTTAAGTTTAATTTCTTATGTAGTTACTAAATTTAAAACTTTTTTCAGCAACGCATATGATAAAACTCGCCCAAATGGCCATGATCAAATTGTCGAAATTAAAAAAGGTTTTTGTGGACATAAGAGACAAAAAACCGCACGTCTTTCCTGGGAAGGCTTGTGTACCCGTTAATTTTTTGTCCCCGTAAGCATTATTTTTTCTGTAAAAAAAATGTACCAGTATGAAACTTTTGGAGAGAACAAAAATAACACGCATTGACTATCAAATAGCCTGACTCGCAAGGGAGTGCTGCTACATCGACTGAGGGTTTGGTTAGACCAGGCATCAAGGTCAGGCTTAGGGTTAGGGTTACGGCAAGGTTTAAATTTGGTTATATTGTTGTAATTAATCGAGTTTGTAAATAGATGAAGTTAAAAATGAAATATAATATACAATAAATGAAAATAAGAAAAATTAATATAAAAAATATATTTATATAACAAAACAATAAATTTAAATATGTATAAATAAAAATAGAAATAAATTAAAAGTTAAAAAATATCTATAAATTTGATAAAAATAGTATAAAAAAGTAAAAAAAACAAAACAGAACGGGAACAAAAAAAAACATGTCCCGAAAGTTGCAACTAGGATGCAATATATATATATATATATATATATATATATATATATATATATATATATATATATATATATATATATATATATATATATTTTCAACACCTTTACTTCCAACAAGGCTGCAAGCAACCACTATTAAAGTTACTCAAAGAGAAAAGATGTAGTTTATAAACCAAGATAACAATTAACAGAGCATTTAGGATTAGTCAAAATAAAGAGATAAGACTTAATGAGTAACACAAGAATGAATTTTAGAAGATAGCACAAGATTTGCTCTTTAGAGCAGTGCCCATTATAGTATTTATAGAAAATAAAAAGAGAAGCAACATTACAACGACGTGATAATGGTTGGCTGCAAGAGCGTTTTTGCACCTTGTCTAATAGAGAAAAGGAATCATTAATCAGCCCCAGATATGGCAACAGTATTCCTTAAAAGGACAGATTTGAGATTTATAAAGATAAATAATAGAATCCGTAATAAGAAAGTTTCAACCACAACAAAGAGATGCAACTTTAGCAGATTCTAATTATGAAATGGATTTGATATATAGCTTCCAAGAAAGATGGGAAAACTTAATTCTAAAAGTCAAGGTTAGATGACTTGTCGAGTACATTACTGTTCATAAATATAGGAAGATCTAGATTGTTGCAATACCGATAAGCTAAAAAAAATTGAGTTTTATCTGAGTTAAAGTTCACCACTCACTGAGAGCCCCATGCTGTAGCAGAAGTGGGATCCTCTTTCAAGTTTAAATGCTCTATCTG